AACCAGCATGCTGTCAGCAGGATTTGCTTTCTTGCAGCTTAATTTAATTAGTCTATGTTCTAAACCAGGTGTGTCAAACTGCCGGCCTGTGGCCCGGTGGCATCATGTGGAGGCCGCGCCCACCCCAGCTCCAGCATTGCAAAAGAAGTCGCGATACGTCACGTGACGCGGCGAGTTTGACACCAGTGTTCTAAACTCTGAAGTGATATAAAAAAGGACTATGACTGGTTCTCTGGATGATAAGACACTCATGTTAGAAACTACTACAGATAGTCTTTGACTTACAACAGATTACTTAGCAACCATTTGAAGTTACACGGGACCACTAAAAATGTACTTACAGCCAGATTCTGAAGTTCTAATGGCAAGGCCTCCCTCTCATGGTTTGGGTGCTCAGCAACTGGCCCACATTTATGGTTGTTAGCAATGACCCATGGTCACATAACTGCAATTTATGATCTTTTTGCCAAAAACTGGTTTTTACTTCCGGTTTTTGGCAAATCTGCCTCACAGCAAACAATGGATTCCCTTAATGACTGTGGCATTTACTTTATGACTCAAGGTGGTTGTTTTACAACCATAACATTCACTTAACTATCATCACAAAAAAGGTCATAAAACTGGGTCCAGTCACGATGACCCGCTTTATGACCATCAGAACCGGTCCCTGGTGCCCAAAAGGTTGGGGATCTCTATTGTAGACAACGTTGAGGTTGTAATGCTGCAATGTAAGCATCATGCTCTGCAAACGCTTGGGAGCGCACAAAACGGGCTTCTTGAATATGGCTATTAGGGGCTTGTGATCAGTTTCAGCTGTGATTGTATCCCGGCAATAAAGATAATGATAGAAAAGCTGTCAGGCAAATACAATAGTTAAACATTCCTTTTCGATTTGAGCGTAATTTAACTTAGCAGATGATAGAGCCCTGGACACATATGCAACTGGCTGATCTTCTTGCAATAGGCAACATCCTAGGCCATTTTTGCTTGAGTCACTTTGAATTGTAACAGGCTTTGTGACATAGTATTTCAACACCGGAGCAACAGTGACCAAGCATTTTATCTCCTTTATTGCCTGGTCGTGATTGGGAAGCCAGTGCCAAACTGCATCTTTGTCCAGCAGACATCTCAAGGCTAACACACTTCAGACAAGTGCGGCAGGAATTTTGCTAAGTATGTGACAAAAGCGATAAATCTCTGCACCGATTTGGCACTGGCAGGCAGCAGCAGGTCCACAATAGCTCTAATTTTATCTGGGTCAGCTTTTAAGCCTTGTAAGGACAGGATATGTCCATAGAAACGGACGTCTTGCACCTTGAACTGCAATTTGTTTGCACTGAGCCTCAGCATCACCTGCCTACACTGGTCTAGTAGTGCTATTGGCTTCTCATCATGGTCATGCTCAGCTTCTTCATCTGTATCACCACAGCCAACTATGAGAATGTCAATTGCACTGAGCCCACTCAAAAGTTCATGCTGTTTTCATTGATACACCTCTGGTGCTACAGAGGTAGTTTGAGCCATCTCTTTCTGCCCCAAGGAGTCCAGAATGTGGTCATGTAGCTACTCTTTTCATCCAGTTTGCACTGTAAAAAGGCATCTCTGGCGTCAACAAGCATGAAAACCCATGCTGCGAGTAGTTTGTGCAAAATGTCATCAAGTGTTGGCATTAGGTAGTGTGACCGTTTCAGGGCCAAATTCAGAAACTTGGGATCAGTGCTGATTCTGATCTTCTCAGCTTCGTAATAACAACCATGTTGCTTATGCAATCGGTAGGCTGAAATACTCAAGTAATATGTCCTTCAGCTTCATATTTGCACAGTTGCGCTTTGACTTGCAGCTTAATGTCTATTGCCACATTGCGTGGGGCACATTGTACTGGTGACATGGCAGGATCAAGTTCAAAGTGAACCTCTCCTGGAACAGATATTATGGGGCCCTCAAACACCTCATTGTAGACTTGGAGGATTTGCTATTTTATCAGTGGCCTTGCCAAGGATTTTGAGGGGCGAATCTTAGTTTCCAAATGTATATCTTTCATCTATGACATTTGTAGAGGGTCTGAAAAAGACTTCTAAGGCATCTAGGATGGCTTTAGTATCACTTTTTTGCTCCTTTGTAAGGGTTGTAAACATGGAGGCATTTGCTCCCCATCAGCTTCCTTAGTGTGGCTGCTGGCATTGCTGCAGGCTTGTCATTTAAGCCTGTGGCTAGGGAGTAATCCTCAAACTCTGCTCTGAAGTTGTCCCAGTTACTGCTGCAATCTCCACTCAGCCTCATTGTCTCAGGCAGTGGTATGCTGTTAGCAGCTGCCAAGATGCTGATTTTCTGGCTTCAAATGCTCGGCTTCCAGGACAGGACCGCAAGTGCTAGATTGGCATGCATCAAATGTGTAGAGACAATGCAGATTCAGATGCTTCTGACACCATATTTCATGTGGAGTAAGTAAATACAATACAAGCCATCACTGTGCAGATGCCACCTTCTTAGAATGAGAATACAACAGGAATAGGAAAATGCATCAGAGGAACAATAAAGATGAATCATAGCATAGCAATGTGATACAGGAAACAAATACAATTGAGATGAATGATAGAGCTGCATATAAGGTAAACATAATACCTGTAACACTAGTCTCTTTCCAATCCCCCCTTAACTATTACAGCTTAAAGGACAAATATATATTTTATTCACCTCAATGCCTCTTTTAGATTTTTAAAGGTTCTTTCCCTCCACCACCACAAACAACAAACCATCCAACAATAACCTTCACAGATGAGTTCAAAGGAAGGGACCATTATCCCAAAGTCAAGCAAACAAACAATGAAACCAAAATTCATTCTGAAAACTATATAACTATGACAGGTATTTAAAAATCTAACTCTTCATTGCCAATATATGTACTAGACCATAAAAAACATTCATGAGTCACAGTGGTGAAATTACTGCTCCCACTTTAATTTAATGTGAGCAGTTTTAATAAGTGGAACACTCAGTTAATGCAAATTGATTTTTGTCTTCGCTAAGTATTTCAGGGGAGAAGTTTGATGGTGGTTTGGAAGTTAATATCACACATTGCCTTGTATAATTAAACAGCAACCAAACAAGCAAACCTATGACAGTCAATAATAATTATGAATTTCTATGAGAACAAAAAAAGTTTCTGCTTGACAACACAGAGGTTTTTTCTTTCTTTCAGGACTTAACAGGGAGCATGTGCTGAGCTGTACAATTTTATGCCCTTGGCAAAGCAGGACACAAGCTATAAGGCTGGGGCTGACTCAACATTTCTGCATGAAGCATGGACAGTGAAAATTTCCCTCTCCCACTCAGTACTTAAAAGATACTAGGTTAGGAAGCTAGACTGTTCTTCAGCATGGTAAGGCCATCAGCCCTTCAAAGTAGGCCAGGTCAGGAAACAGACACCATACTGCAACTGTATTTTATTGTTAAGAGGGCATAATAAGAGAATTTTGAAATCCGGTCAGTGTCTCTCTCCCTTCTTCTTAGTTCAAAGACACTAAGAGGGGGACAATCTTGAGTTTCTTTCTCACCTGCTCAAACTGATGTTTGTCTGTTGTTGCATTCCTTCAAGGTTAATGTCCATATTCTTCTACACTATCACTCCTCTACACTAGCACATACTCTTCCAGTACTTATCTACTGCATCTTAACACTTGCTAACAAATGGTGGGGAACCATACAGCAACAACAATAAACTAAATGAAAACTGCACACCTGACAAATTGAAGAAGAGATATTCAGAAATTTCTAGTGGAGCTGTAAGGAATTCTGTTTCCTGGGGGTATCCAATTCAGATAATGCAGACTTAACACTTGGAGACATGAGGCCTAATGGCAAAGGAACACGGAAAACCTCTTTCCTAGAAGATACAGTACAACATAGGGGAAGCTGGCACTCATATGATATCTTTGATTGCCTTCAGAATAAGAAAGGCATTTCCACATTAAGATGGAGTGGCTGACAATTTGTGGGAGAGGGACTAAGGAAGGGACATCATTCTTATACATTTTTCATGTGTCCAGCTGACTAGATTTAGAAGACTGCTGGCCTAGACAAGAAATATTGGCTGTCCTAGAGGCACATAGGTTTTTCTATTATTATTGGTTGCAAAAAGAAAGTGGAAATGGCTTGCAAGAACAGATGTGGTTTTGCAGTTAAACTATTGGACTATGATGGTGTGATGCAGGTTCAGATCCCTGCTTTACCTACCTCACAAGACTGCAGGGAGGCCAGAACAGTAATGGAAATAAATATATGCTGGATTGTGTTTCTGAGATTATGAATGGGATTTGCAATAGTAATCTATAATTATGTTTCTTCTATGATGAAAACGTTTTTATCCAGCAGGGCCATACTGAGGGAAATGCTATCCGTCTTATCTTATAAATGTATTCATTGTAGTTGTTGCTTTGAGTGGTTTTGTGTTGGAAATCTCTAACATCACAATTTCAAATCAGTATCTTTCCAGAGGAAAGTTCACAAACCGAGAAGGGAGAAACGCGCCCTACTCCGGGAGTTCAATATGCGCCACTGCAAAATAGGTGCAACTGTGGCATCTTTCCGAGGTCGTCCCGACTTTCTGAAGCCCATCCAGTTATAAACTGAGACCAATCTCTCAGATTGGATCGCCCACAGCCGCCGGCTTGGCTCTTCTGCGCCTCCGGAGGAACCGCCAACAGAAACCCAGAGAACTTCGGCCCACAGCCGCCAGGTCCTCCGAGGCCCTTCTTTCCAGCAGGGGACGCTGTTGCCTCCGACAAAAACTTGGCTCCGCCTCGGCCGCTGCCCTTTGATCCCTGCGGAAAAGCTGGGAAAGGACGAGCTCGGAACGGGGCCGCGCGGCGGGCTTTGGGTTGCAAGCGCCGGGCGAAGGCAGGTAGTGTGGCACGCGGGGTCATAGAGCGGCCAGGCCGGCGGGCGCTGCTCGGCCCCGGGCGAAGAACCAGCGCTTTCCGGTTCCCTCTACCTTCTGGGCGAAGGGAGGCCGGAATCGGACGCAGGCCCGCTAGGCAACCGGGCAGAGGGCGGGGGTTACACGCGCGGTGCTAGATCTGCTGCGGAAGGTTTACAGTCGGGATTGTAGCGCGGTTTTAACCGTATTTACGGTAGGGTTCCCTTGAATTCGACCTTGGCGCTTGTCATTGCCCTCTGCGAAGTTTATTCACACACACCAAACCAGGGGCGTTTGATCTCCGTGGCATTTGTGGTTCGATCCTTTGTAAGATCAGGGGATGAAAAAAAATTAGGAGTGCGGCTGTGACCTATTAATTCGTCTGCCGTCCAAGTAATACCAACGATTGCTTGAAATAGTTGGTCTCTTGTACACGTTTCTTGTTATGGGTGGACTGTATTCTGCAGGTCATATTGTGCGAGACGTTAACAAGTCAATTCAGTCAGTACAGTATTGTATTAATTTAAGGAAAATTAGACTACCCTGAGGGTTGTGTGAATACTTCTATGCTGCTTTTAGAGTTCCGTGTAATCGCTGATGTTTAGAGCTAGGTAGAAACTTGCTTGCAGTCCACAGCATAAAGTTACAAGCTGAAAACTAAATGGACTTGCTTCTGCTGGGAGGCCTACTGCCTACGCGTTTGATCTTTAACCATCTTGGCTTATTTGCAATAACAAATAAGGGATTGGCTAGGTAGAATATAGAGCTTATGTTTCCATGATGAATTGAGACCCCTAATTTTAAGGTTGGTCCTTGTTTGCCCATTTCTGAAAAAGCCCTCTCTGGATCCAGGGGATTAGTACTGACCATAATACTTCTGTTTTGGGTAAAGTGCTGGAGAAGGTAATATTTGTACAGTTCAGATTTTCTTGGAGAACACTAATTTTGTTGATCCTTTCTGATAAAGGATTTAGGATTGGTTTTAGGACAGAATGAGTTTTGGTCTTGGAAAATAGCTTGCATCACTGTGCTTGTACATTCTGTGGGTGTCACAGAGGACTAATTTTCCCCAATGCTATTTATATATAATGATGATCATCATCAGGTGTTTGGGGTGAAATGTCATCAGATGTTAAAGACATGCTGATTACTTCATGACACCTAAATCAAGAGAGAACAGGCAAATTTAGAAGGAGTATCTAGATTCTGTTACAGGATAGATGGGCGCCAGTGAATTGAAGTGGAATTCCCTCAGGACAGCTCATGAATCAAATTTCAAGGAATGGGAATTAGTGAATCTGCCTTGAGTGGAATTTGATCCCACTTCTTCAGATTTTTATTATTTGGACTAGGGTGGGGATTCAAGAGTTTGAAAACTTACAATAGTTTCAGATGTTTCTGGAATAGTAATTGATATTGGAGGACCAACTGACCTTTTAAGGAACACCTTAACGAAATATCTTGCTGCATTGACAAATATCTTTCCTGCATGTGGAAACCTACCTGCTCTTGTTCACACTCTGGTAGCCTCATGTTTAGATAAGTGGGAGGTCTGGCTATGCACACATTGCATCTTTATTGGAGCAACTGACTGGCTACCAATTAACTACCATACCAATCTTGTGTTTGACAAAGAGTGCCCTTGAAAACTTGGGAGCAGGATATCTAACAGTCTGCTTTTACCTTTATCTGGCAGGTTGGTTACTAAGGTGAACAGAGGCAGTCCTGTTGTGCATCCAGTACCACAACTGACCTACTGTTATTTTGCTGTTATTCATAGGTGGGCATTCTTTCTAGTGAAAGCCTTGGGATTTTTTTTTCATCCATTTCCAATCTTTTATACTTCTTTATTATAATTTATTTAAATTATTTGATTGTAAACTGCTTTAAATTGCCTGCCCAAGAAGAAATAAACTATTAAATAAATAATGTGTAGTTTGGGCTTTTTTTCCTAAGAAAGTTTGAACAGTCGAAGCAGGATGTCACACTGCAGGGCTATGCTTCATTTCAAAATGTAACTCTCTTGAGAAAAAAAACAATGAAGATTTCACTGAGGTCTTCACGCTGAACCCATTTTTCAGAATATGCTTCATCACGGTAGACTCAAATCAATCTTTGTTACAGTCATAGCCCAGCATAACAGTAGATTCATGGATAAAGCAATAGATTTCTCCCACTAGTCTTCAATGCCTTGTTTATGAATAGTGTTTGTGGACAGATCATGAAAAGGATACTTATTTGCTGGTAAGTTAATGTAAGCCACTGAATTATTGTGAATGCAGTAATACAGAATTTAGGATGATGATTTTGTGGGCATTGTAGATTTTTAGGATATCAGTAGCACCTGTTGATATTATGTTGCCTAACCCTGCATAGGAAAGCCAAAGAACAAAGGTCTTTAATTATTTGGATTGTGGGTAGATGATTTTTATGTCTAAGATTATAACCCAGTCCCTGGCATTTAAAAACAAATTCACATCACAAGGTCAGACATTTGTATTCAGAAATAAATTGAATGAATTCAGTGCAACGTTCTTTAATGTGTTCGGAATTTTGTGGATCCCATACCTTCCTATATTGCTTGTTGCTTTAGAACAGGGGTCTTCAAACTTGGCTCTTTTATGACTTGTGGACTTTAACTCCCAGAATTCCTCAGCCAGGCACGCTGGCTGAGGAATTCTGGGAGTTGAAGTCCACAAGTCATAAAAGGGCCAAGTTTGAAGACACCTGCTTTACAATGTGTAAGACGTTGCATTGTTCATTTTGTAAAATTTCTAACTTGCAGCGGCCTAACTGTTTAATTCTTTGTTCCAGGGTATGCTATGACAGGGTATAAATTGCTTCTTGGCGCATTTAGAAATCTAAATGTCTGGCTTGGACTTCTGGTCAAATCTCCTCACAAACTCCGCTCTCCCTGGAGGACCTTTCTTTGTGCTACAAGCCAGCATCCCAGAACAGCAATTCTCCCCAAACATTTCTGTGTTTCTCCCATTCAACAGCATGTATTTTTAGTACCATGGTCAAAAAGTGTGTCAGGGATTTCGGTCCGACACAAAAGTAACAAAAGCTCACATAAAAATGTGAAAAAAACTGTGGAAGAAGACTTGGAGGAGGAAGACACTGTTGAAGAGATAACTGATTCAGAAGATGAGTTTGAAGATGATCCCAGCATAGTGAAGAATTACAAAGAGCTTGAGAAAGTAGTGCAGTCTTTCCGCTTTGATGTAATCTTGAAATCTGGTTTAGATATTGCAAGAAAGTAAGTCTAAAAGTTTAAAATCACCTGTAAGTAAAGAGATTACAAGGTATAGCTAATGATACTTCGTTTAACGTTGCTAAGTGCAAGCTAGTTAAAGGTTTCCCTCTTAGGAAGACTATTAACATACAATTAATATATTGGTTTTGCTAATACTAGTATGTTAAAGATAGTATTCTTCATAAGCCTTCCCCAATCCGGTGCTGGTTGTAACAGCATCTGGAAAGCATTAAGTTGGGAAGGACATTTAAAATGACTTTTGTAGCTTGTGATTAAAATCCCTATGAAAACAGACTGGTCAGTTAAATACTGTAAAATTGGCTATTAAAAAAATAAAGACAACTATTAGCATCAGCTGATAGTCATTAAAAAAAACAAAATAGCTCTTAATGAGACTACTTTTCCAACTTAATTTGCAGTCCGTTGGCCATTCCTTTAATTAAAGCTTCCAGATGCCATGATATGCATGCACGTTTCTTGCTTAGACTTTGTCATTTGTTTCAGGGTTTTGTGTATTTAAATATACATAGTAAAAAGCTTTGAATGAAGAGCAGAAAGATTAGGCATGTGTTTATCAACCATTGTTATTTTACTTGCAGAATGTAGCAAACCAGATTTAAGTAGAAATTGTTCTTGATTTTTGATCACAGACCAACAGTTTCTACAAATGATCAGTTGCTCACATGATAAGATTGGCATTTCCATCTGAAAGCTGTTTTTTTTAATGTATACTGCTCCCAAAAATAAAGGGAACGCAAACTCCTTCAGTTCCATGTTAAAATGTTCCCTTTATTTTTTTGAGCAGTGAAATGTTCCTTTCAAGAAAACCTGAATGAGCTTAATAGGATTTGCTTCACCAAAAGTACGCATAGGATTACAGCCTTATTTAGCTTTAAGAAATGCAACATTGATTTTCTTTCTGTAAAAGGTGACTACAGTATAGCTGCAGGTCCGTACATAGTGAATCAGTTGCACTAGAGCAGAGAAATGCTAAAGGGAAATGTTATAATTTATGTTAATTGATATGATTTAACACAGTGTTTCTCAACCTTGGCAACTTTAAGATGCGTGGACTTCAAACTCCCAGAATTTTGGGAATTGAAGTCCACACATTTTTAAAAGTTGCCAAGGTTGAGTCACAGATGTAGCTATCTATATACATACGTTGTAGCGGTAGAACAGGTTATTCTTAGTATTTATTTTTGTAAAAAATATAGCAAGAATATTAAATATAAAAATGGGTTCTTTTTGTTTTAAAGCAAAGTGGAAGATGCATTCTACAATGGTGAGCTTAGACTGAATGGAGAAAAATTGTGGAAGAAAAGCAGATCGGTAAGACTCTTTGAAATTCACGGTATAACCTAAACTAACATGAGAAATCAGGGGTTAAGATTTAATTCTCACTATTACATAGTGAAACAGGATCACATCACTACATAAAAGACATTTTTCTTTGCAGCATTGGGACCCAAGATTTTTTGGCCATTTGCTTATTTTTATTTCTAGAACTATTTACATATTGATAACCAGCTTATTAAAATAACAGTTGCATGTTGTATTATACAACCAATATCATATTTCAAAAACATTGAGCTCGTTCAGTGTATCTCTTAGACCTAATTTAATGTCAGATGAACTGGAGTAAGTTCATCTAAAGTTTGGGGCATGCAACACTTCTCATTCTTCCTCCATCCTTTATTTCACTTTCAAAAAAATTCTGGCTTGTTAATTTGATCATTGTGTTAAACTAGAACTCTGTTTTAATTGTAAGTAAGGAAGAAGGTTAATACTATTATTTTGTTGGGGTTTTTTGAGGGGGGCGGGCTTCTGCAGATATCTGGATGGCAATGTTGATAAGATTGCTTAACATTATGTGCAAATTGGAAATTCTGGCTTGTTTCTCTATTAGTCCTGTCCAAGTCATGGCTTGGTGTGCTTTTGATCAATAAACCAGTTTTTAGTGTACTGATAGTTAAAATCCAAAGGGGAATTTAGCATGCACCCACATTCTACTTTTTTCTTTATTGAGCCAGAATTCTGGCTTACTTAACTAAATCTGAACAAAGGCAGTATGGTTTAAAGCAGACTTTCATCAGATTCAAAGTGAGCCACTTTCAACCACAAGATTGTTCAAATAAACAGATTATATCTGAAGCTATAATTTCTGGTTTGCGTGGATCAAGAATTCAGGATTTTTTTTTAAAAAAAAAGTAGAGTTAACTGAGTAAAAAGAGGATAAGGGAGAATGTGCAAATATATGATTTCTCTTGAACTTGTGCAGATAATTTATACCATAGTTTAGTGTTGTACAAGTAGGTCTCAATTAGTGTGGTTAATCAATTCTATGAAATGGTTGTACTATTTGAATTCACATGTTTTTAAAGTGAGGTTCCTATGGAAGATAGGGTAATTGGTTATAGTTTGGTGGAAATGGGCCACTGAAATTTTTGAACATATATTCTAATATGATCATTAACGAAATAATGTATAACAATAAAAGAGGATAAACCCACTAGCTATCTCCTATATCCTGCTATAGTTCTTCAAAAAGAGCCTCTTCTGTTTTGAGCTTTCCTTGAATGGAATTTCCCTTTTCTCCATTTTACACAAATGATGATTAGTGTCTAATCAACTGCACATGCACTAATCCCAACCGTGCACACACCACCTCACACTAACAACCCTAGCTTGCATTAAACACAATCTGGTATCAATTTATAAACCATACTAAATGAAAATCACATTCAAATTTGTACTAATCATAACCTATCAGTATTCAAACCCTGCCAGGAGTAACAGTAGATAGTGTAATCAAGGCAAGTGAAGCCATGTAGAGCACAGCTTGCTTGCTTGCTTGCTTGCTTGCTTGCTTGCTTGCTTGCTTGCTTGCTTACTTACTTACTTACTTACTTATTTATTTATTTCAGCTATGTTAGCAGCATTGGTCTTAGGAGGCATCTGTATTATTTTCTGAGTAACAGAGTAATGTGTTAACTGTCTGGGTCCATGAGCTTTCTCTCTGACTTCCTTGAAAGAGGAGGACCTGGCTATGGGTCTTATGCCTTCATCACCATTTGTAGACTTCTACAGTGGGCTATACAAGAGATTGCTGCCTTTATAGGCATCTTCTTATTGCCAATGAGCCATCTCAGTGCAAGTTCTCTGGAACAGCCTGTCCCTACTACTGAGACTGGTTCTCTCACTGATGGCCTCCCAGAAGTTGGAGAAAATGTTTGCTTTGGACATTGTTGGTTCACCATTGGCACGTTTTTCTTCTTCTGTATATGAGTATATGATCATTGTTATTTTGAGGGAGAGGGAGGGGTCGAAGTATATTGTATTGTCCATTAGGGGCTGTAGCAAATTTTAATATAAACATTTTATTATTTGTAGCTATAAATTGTCATAGATCTGGTAGATTCAGCACATAGAAATTCAGTTAGTAACAGCAACAACAATTTAACCATAGAATAATTTGATTCTTAAAATCCTCCAGCGATGGAACACCCACAACCCCAGGAAGCAAGTTGTTTGGTTGATTAATTGTTCTGTCAGGAAATTTTTCTTTTATTCCAGGTTGCTTCTCTTTTTGTCCTGCCCTCAGGTGCTTTGGAGAATAACATGACCCCCTTTTCTCTGTGACAATTCCTCCAGTACTGGAAGACAGCTATCATGTCATCCCTAACCCTTTTCTTTGTTAGGTTAAACACACCTAGTTCCCTTAACTGATCCTTCATCATTTTTGTTGCTCTTCTCTGCACTCTTTTCTCGAGTCACAGCATCTTTTTTGGATCTTAGTGATCAAAATTGGATACAGTAGTCCAAGTGGGGACTCACGAGTACAGTAAATGATTTATGGTGTTGTGTCATATTACTGCTGTAGCTTCTTTATTGTGATTCTAAGTTTCATGGATTAGAAATGTCTGATTATGGGTTTACAACTTTTTTTCTTATACATGCATACATTCTTAAGGCACCACAACATCCTCGAATCATAGAATTTATACCACAAAAAAGTACACCTATTAAGCAGTCAACTTGGCAGCTTTGCTTCAAGCTTCAAAATGGTGGGAATGAAAGCAGTCAAATCAATGTCAGGCAGGTTATTCATATAGTTGCTCAAGGAAAAAAAACACGGTAATTTTTTCTCTTCCCCTCCCTTTTTTTTCTTCAGGTAAAGGTTGGCGATACATTGGATCTCATTCTTGGAGAAGACAAAGAAACAGAAACAGCCGTAGTTATGCGAGTTGTTTTAAGGAAAGCATCTGAGAAGAATGAGAATGATAAATATAAAGTGGTGTTGAGACGATGGAAGAACTTAAAGGTGCCCAAGCAGGATGTATTGAAGTGAATAAATGAATTGCATGTTGTGATTGATTTCCTGTGAGCAATCACATTTATTGTATAATATATATATTTTGTTAAACAAAGTTTTTTTAAAAGGTTATGAGATGGCATGCCACTTTCCTTACTATAAACATTACTATTTCTGTTTGTTCCATGACTTTCCAAGTTTGCTGTTTTCATTTCAGAAGGGAAAAAAAAATATTGTTCCTGTGAGAAATAATAAAAGACAAGCCTGATCTTAAATTGTCGTGGCTGTTGCTTAACCACATGACTCAGAAACTCAAATGCTAATCTTAAGGGGAAAAATTACTTTTAGAATATTTTTGTGACTTGCAATATCACTAGCTATTTACATCAAAAAGGAAAATATCAAGATAGATTAGTAGTATGTTCTCATTTCCAGGAATGAAAACTGAAATAAGTCATTTCTATTTGCTTTCCTCTTCATCCAGAGGTGGCAGTGTGGAACGTAGGTAAATCTGCTGGCCACTGTATTTTCACTTGTATAAAGCAGAGTTCCTTCATGCAGAAGGTGGTTATAAAAATAGAGGGGGTACTGTTAAAAGTTGACTCAGGTTTATCAGGAAAACAACTGTGCTACTTGACTGGATAACAATTAGAAAGAGATGGCCATATATTTCTCACTTGAAAACCCAACGAGAGTATAAAGCTCTAAAATAGAAATAGATGGAGTTACTCTGTTTACTTCAGTGTGCAGTGCAAGTCTGCATATTTAGTCTTCCGTGGACTTTATGGCAACTCAAGTGCTCATTAGAATAGACATGAGGCCCTGAATCAAAGTTTATATCTCTGATTTTAATTTAACTCACTGCAGCAAAGTACATTTCTTTTCTTTAATGAAGGCACCTTTAAAACCACCCTGCTTCTTGTTCAGCTGACGGAAGATTTTGGCTGGATTTCATCCGTATTATGGCTCATCTATTAAAGAGATATTCTACATTCATAAATTGTGAGGGCATACCAGCTAGCTAAGGAAATGCTTAAAAAAAAAGAGAAAATGTAAAAAGTAATAATTTTTATCAAAGCTTTTGTGAGCCAAAAAAGCTCACAAGTTTCCAAGTGAGAAGTGTTAGATATCTCCCTGAGTCTCTTGTTTTATAATGGTATATTTGTGAATTAAAAACCTATGTTACCGTATTAAAATGAAATCATGTTTATAGTAGCTCAATAAATTTCATATAAGAAATTGTATAAATGCATTTTGTACATTTTGTACACTCTTCAAGGATATGCTGATCATTAGAAGCTAAAATGTTTCCAAAATGATACTGAACACAGAAATAATTTTGTGTTGTAGTTTCCCTGGTATCTATTTTAGCAATAAGATAACAGAAGCACATTTATTTTATTGCAGTAATATGTGGGAGGGGGGGAATTGCAGGAAGATTGAAAACAACCCTGGCAGGAAAAAACAAAAAGGAAATAAAGTGTGGATTTACACCATATGGAAATGATGCTTTGTTTGGAATTCAGAAACAATATGCGTCCTGTAGACTCTGCCACAACTTTTCGGCTGTTTCATAGTTCAGTAGAACCGAAAACCTGATACATGATTTTTGCCATGTTCAGGTGAGCAACAAAAACTGCTGTTTCTAAATTGAGGGATATAAAATGAATGCCTCTACATAAATGTATATGTTTTAGTTCAGATTAACGTTTATTTACTTATTATAAATCATTTCTTCTTTACTCTCCAAGAGTGGTACATTCAGCTAACAAATACAGCATATTAGGAAAGCTATTTGAGAGAAAAAGCTGAACTCACCCCTGGCTCTGAGACCAAGAAAAAGTAGTGTTGTGGTACTACCACATTAAACTAAGCTAGGATTCTCAGGGGCCAGTACAGCAGAAGAAACCTTCATAAGGCAGTTGAGAAACAGAAAAAGATACAGATTTGCAATTATCACCTGTTTTACTTGAAGCCAGTACGAATTTTAAAGCCAACAGATAAGACTAAAAGTGGAGAGAAATTTGGTAGAAAGTTAGGAAAGGAAATGTTCTAACCAATCCATCTCTCTCCTCACAATTCCATTTACCCCTTCATTTTTAATTCAGTAAAAATCCATTGTCTTTGGAACAGAAAAAAACAAAAACATTTTTTTAAAGTGACATGCGCTACATATTAAGATCCAAGTAACGTATGTTTAAAAAATGGATAAATAGAAATGTGTCACACACAATAATTGTATCAACACCTCACTGCCACAACAAACTGGGTTGTGCAGCAGTTTCAATTAGAAGGCAAAACGATGCTCAGAGTGTTCAGCTGCAAAAAGTAGGTCTGCCTGCAAATGCTTCAGGGAATGATGCCTTTTACTGGAATGGCACACAGCTGTCCTCCTATCCTGTTGCATGATCCTAGGAAAAAATAATTCTGATTTAGGGAGTTGCAGGCATGCGCTCTGGCTTGTGTTCCTGTGTGCTCTAAAGCAGTGGTTCTCAACCTTTTTAATGCCGCGACCCCAACCGGTCATAAGTCGAGGACTAAACCGGTCGTAAGTCGAGGACTACCCAACCGGTTGTAAGTCGAGGACTTTCCCTGCCCAGGAGCGCCGCGCATGCGTGGTTCCGCCCCCTGCGCCGGCCGAGGCGTAGCTGGCAAGCGGCAAAGACGGAGCAGGCCGACCACCAGCTGGCCCAGCCCAAGGGAGGTAAGGCACCCGCCGGAAAAGGGGGAAAAATGGTGGACAAAAAAAATGGCGGACAGCCTTGCTTGGCGACCCCCGTGAAATGGTCGATCGACCCCAGATGGGGTCCCGACCCACAGGTTGAGAACCACTGCTCTAAAGCATCTTTCTGCTTTCAGATTGAAAGCATCTCAACAACACTAACAATGTGATTCTGATCCTTCAATAGCAAAGGCTGTGTTGTTTCAGTGAACGGGACAACCTGTAGGGAGTACACTAAAGCAGAGCCTCCTCAGCAAATCATACAAGGTGAAAAGCTGACTAAAATATTATCAAAATAAGAAACGCTGTTTGTCAAAATTCACTCATTTACCATTCAGGCTTCGCACTATAAAAATGAATAAAATTAACATTTACCAAACAAAAGCTCAAATAGTTTATAATCTTTTCCGTAACATGGTCAGGATTGTGTTCATATTCCCAAAATTATTATCAAGATTAAGAACACGTTATTTTCAGAATGTTTTCTAATGTCCAAGACACTAGAAATAATGCATAGCATACAATTAAACCCTTTATTAATTGAGTCTAATAAATTATAAAGGAAAATATTTTGATCAGTTTATCTTATGTTCTCTGCTCTATATACGATGCAAGTACCTCTTTCATCATAAGCAGGGGTAATATATTCTGCACAAAATGTCCATTTTAAATCAATTGTTCAAGTCACTTTGGCTAAAGTACCAGGAGTCTGTGAATTCTAGACCTGCCTTAGGCATGAAGGTGACTTGTCAGTCACTCTTTCTCGCTGCTCAACCTAGCAACTCAAGAGGGTTGATTTTGTGGAGACAATAGCACACACACACACACACACACACACGTGTGTATATATGCATATATGTTGTCTACATAGTTTGCAAGTGTAACAAGTGTATCAAACTAGAAAGGACTGGAAGTCAAATGACACCATCCTTAGCCCTGAACAAGCATTCTACTACAGAGCATTCAACTGTACATGCTGATCGTCTTGTATGCAATTTACACAATTCAAGGGAAGAGCAACTCCATAGACAAGGGTCAATTTTTCTAAACCAATGCTGGAGAGCTTTATGGGCATTTCAGGAAAAAAAATCAGTGGGTTGGATCTGGAAGTCTTGTTTTTGCCAGGTAAAAATCCATGGAACAAGTTACTGGAACTTGTTAGTCATGACTGATTTCAGTGGGATTGAAATACTGTTAACTTCATTTCGATCTAATCCAGCCCCAGCACATACAAGGAAATGTCAGTTTGGGAATATGATTTTATTCTATTATGAGAATCTCATGACTTGCAGTAAAAGAAAACATAAAGCCCTGACACAATGTAATACCCTTCAGAAAAAAACAAAACAAAAATGTCTTAATGTTTACTGAACATATATTTAGTGGAACTATATAATCAATGATTTTGATCAACTGAACAATGATTAAAGTAGTTTATAATCTTTGTGATAATGAAATTATTTGGGTGTCACTGTATTTGAAGATAACTAATCAATATACGATAGAGTTTAGTATATAATTCAAATAAAAATATAGATAGTATATTTAATATTTTCAACAGTTTAAAAGCTGCAGTAATTTAACTGATAAAAATATGGACTTAAGTGTTTTGCACATTCCTCAATTCAAGTATTTTTTTTGAAGTAGTGAGTATAACAGGTAATAGCACCACTTTTACTGATACAGAGTAGGATTCTATATTTCACAATCTCCACGCATACCAGTAGTTTTTTTTATCAAGATTACACAGAAAACAATAATTTATATGAATAAAAAATTAAATCAATACTACAGTTTTAACATAAACACTCATTAAATAACCCCATGATTATAATTTTAATTTTTACACCAAATCAACTACAAAATGAAAAATTATTTTTAAAAAGTGATAACTTGATTTTGTAATTTTTCCTTTCCTAATATTCAAACTTGATACAAGGAGTATTCATAAGCATAGAAACTGTTGTGATTTTCCATTCTTTCTTAAAGAGGTATAACATTTTAAAATTGGAGTTTTGAAATATTTAAAAATTAATTTCCAAATGATAGATTAAAGGTCCCTGTTGAAAACTCTTAAAAGAAGTTAATTACTATTTAAAAATAATTAAAAATTAAACACTAATTTATTTCCACTGATGAATATTATATTTAGAGGATATATTATTAGATCAACTCTTAATAATTTGTAGTTCCTTGTGATCCAGTTTAGGTAGGTGGTAACTGAAAAAACAGCAAGAATTCTAAGCTACATAAAGGCATACTAAAGTGGAGTTATAAAATATCTTTTTCCGCCATATGCATTTGTTTCAGTAGGGCTCTTAAGAGAGACTTTCATTCGATTATCACTTCCTACTTCTTACCCATTTCCTGTATGTGTAAACACATATGAAAGAAAAGATGTATTGTAGTTGCCCTAGTGCTAAACCAATTGACCTCTCAAGCTACTTCAAAATAACTGAAGTTACCATCTTTGGAAACTTAAAAGATCACTTTTTTGCTTTCTTGGCTTTTTTCAATATGTCACACTTTTTTCTATTTGGACGTCTGCATCTTTCATCAATGCTAGGTATACATTCATAATGCCAAACTTCATCCATCTTTTCAACAGGATAAACAGCTTCAACATAATGGCGGATGAGTCTCAGTCTGACAGGATCAAGCTGCTTTTTGTTACAAGCCCCTGAATGGTTGTATTGCAGTCTGAGGTTATCTGAAGTAAAAAGCTCTGGAAAAAGTCTTACTAAGAGTCTGGCAGCAAAGTTACCAACTGAAAGACTTTGTTGTACTATCTCTCTTACCTCTTTATCAGACAGCAAATATAGAGAAGGCACAGAAAAGTCTGGTGGAGGAACAATAAGTTCCTCAAGTGGTATCTTGCAAAAATCTTTGTTGCTTCTTTCTGGAGGCAATGGTGGTCCTTCAAATTCCTCTTTAAATCGTTCTGGGTTTATTGCATAGGTCAGGAATTCTCTCCTCTCGGGTCCCGGTACATGGACTTTTCGCTGCAATTGGTAGGTGCGTCTCTGTTCAGTATCTCTCCGACGGCATCTTTCATCCAGTTTCCCAACAAATTCCAGTGTCCATACTCTATCATTCTTTGCTCTTGGATACAGCATTTGCACATAGTGTCGAATCAATTTAATTCTAACAGGATCAAGTTGTTTCTTGCCTAGTGAGCCACTGCAATTGTATTGCTTCCTTAAGTTTTCAGGAGTAAACAATTCAGGAAATAAGTGAACTAGCAATCGAGAAGCAAAATTACCTATAGATAAGCTACTTTCATATATATTCTTAAGCTGCTCCTTACTTAACAGATAATCTGAGACAGGAACATCAAAATCAGGGGAAGGGATATCAAGTTTATCAAAGTCTATGGGCACAAGCCAAATCTTTTTTGATCTTCTACCTGGTCTTTCATAGTCACAATTATCTTCTACTTTTATAACTGACACATCATCAGGCAAACTTGAAGAATCATAGCAATCATCTCTTATCTGTTCATTCTCACTGTCATCCATATACATGCTTTCAAGTTCATCATTTATTCGCTGAACACAATGCTGTAACCAAGCCTTTCTCTCCTGCATAGCAGGAAAGTAGATCTCTGTGTATCTGCGGATTACCTGAAGTCGCTGAGGATCAAGTTCTTGTTTTCCACACTCTCCGTAACAGCTGTATCTTTCAGCCAATTTTCTGTGATCAAAGAGTTCCGGAAACAATCTGTGTAGCAAAAATACACAAAATTCTCCAGGAGAAGATGCTTCATCTAAAAATTCATTTATATCCTGGGCATCAAATACCCATTCTGAGGCAACAGAAGTATTTCTATCAATCGGTAGAACTTCTTCATCATCCTTATCATTAATATGATCAGACTCATAAAAACTGGAGGACTGTATATCTGACTGACCATTTTCCATATCTCTCTGAGCCCAAAAACTATTGAAAAAGTCATTGACCTGAGGCAAACATTCTGCTTGCCAAACAGCGGGATTTTTCACAGATGGATAACAGACTTCCACATAGTTTCGGATGAGTTGCAGATGAAGTGATTCAAGTTTCTTTTTGTTAAGATAACCACACGTGGTGCAGGCCTTACTTAATTCATCCTCACTAAAGAGTTCTGGAAAAAGTTGTACAAGTAATCGGCAGGCCAGATCACCACCTGATGTACTTTGATCCATAATCTGTTTGAGTTCTGAGGCAGTCAGCTGATACTCAGGAGGTGGCTTGAATTCTGCAACAGCATCTATTGGACTGACCTGTTTCTTAATTCTACTGACTTCTAGCGATAGCAGATCTACTTTGCTATGCAGTTGAGTCATGTTAGAATTTAATGTATTCAGTGTATAAAACATTTTTTGTATTAAAGAATAGATATTTGAATCAGATTCGGCAGTAATATTGCTTGTTTCTCTTTTCCGCTGGTCATTCAAAGTCCTAAGATTGGAGGGACTGCTAGGATTAATCTTTTCAAATAACTCAAAGGTGGTAAACTGTTCTGTTCCTGGCAAAGTCTTCTTCTCTGTAATTTTGTGAGAGATCCCATAAAGAGGTTTCTTATATGAAGGCATAACTGTGTTATTCAATGTTTCTTCACAAATCCATGTTAGACTGGAATTTTTGCTCTTGCTTGGCTGCTCAACATCTTCCTGAGTAGGCAATCCATCTCTGCATCTCAAGTTTGAGGTCTGATCCTTTCAATAAACAAACAGGTCATTAGTTTATAATTCTTTTGAATAAGTTCTTAACTTGTCCTTAAGGAACAAGTAATACATTGTCCGAATTTAAACAAGGCATTGATTTAATCTAATTTGACATAAGGTCAGTTGTAGATTAGGTTAGTTGAACTTAGTTCTCTAAAAGTCAGTAACATTCCATTAAATCATAAATTATTATATCTATTGACTAAGTGCGACTAAATTAATCTTAATTTAACTAGAATTAACCAAACATTAGAATATTATTTTAGCAGTCATTTGCTTACGATTTAGATCAGAAAATAATCCTGAATGTAAGTTGATATTCAAAATATAAAACAAAATAAATTATTTGACAGAACAACAAAAGAAGCCTATATGAAGATTCCATGTAATATTGCTTCTCTATCTTGTCAACCTAGGATTGCCAGCTACAGGTAAAACAGATTCCCAAGAAATTTTTCTCTAATAAATATGTCTAGGTGACACTTGCATATCTGTCCATAAATGCATGCTTGTTTACACTTGCTGATCTGAGGTACTATTCCAAAAACTAGAAGGGCCAAGGTAAAAAATGATATTAATACCATTAATACTTATGGATTCAAATGAAATGCCCACAAAATATTAGAATTGACAATGAAAATATTGAAGTGATAGATAATTACTGTCTTTTAGGATCAATTATCTTCAATAGAAAAAAGATTGTCACTGATAAGATCATCTGGAGCAGGAGGCAGGCACCGCAAACAGTGCAAGAGTTCAAGCACCCATTCTCTACAAAAGAGGATCGGTACCTGAACTTGTGCGACATTATAGCACCCAGGAGCTTCGATCGACTCTCCTGTCCCTCAAAAGCAGGAACCGTGGCAGAGAGAAGGTAAGTCAGTCCGGTGCAGCAAGAAGGGAGAGGGAAGCATGAGGTATGTTATTGGGTTGGGGAGGCCTTGGGGGCCTGTTCCATCACTAAGTCCTCCATTGCCTTCCCCACCCTGAGATACCTCATGTGCACTTAATGAGCCCCGTGTGTCTTTAACAAGCAGGGAGTAATTTGTTCAAGGTACGAGATTCACTCCCACAAATTTTCAAGTTGCGAATGGAATGGGCAGGCTCCATTACATTCGTAACTTGAGGACTACCTGTATTCAGTAAGGACTTCCATCCCGTAATTTGCATTAGTCCTTACATTTCAACTTCATTTTCAAAACAGACATTCTTATTCACCAATGTTGGGGGAGGGAGGAGGAGCCCTTACCTGGTCCTAAGTTATCTTCTCTTAAATTTGTCTAAATATACTACAGGTTGCAAAACAGGATACAGTGGCTTAGTGCAGGTGCTTCGAGTTAATAATCACAGTCCATCTGCTTTTCCTTTCCAGCCTGATCCTTACAATTTTCTCCTTTCCTCTCAATCCTTCCTCCTTTCTTATTAATTATAAATCCCTCTGCAGGGTAATGATATGAGTTTTGTGCCCTCTAGACTTATCATGACCCAAAGTATGAAAAATTAGGGCCAAAGTGACCTCTGTTTAAGGCTACCCACGAGCTCATTGGCAGTTCTGAGCTATTCATTCTTTCTAGGCCTAACCTTCTCCAAAGGAAAAATGCTCTGTTAAATTTAAGTGGTCCTAATAGATTTGACTTTAAATATATTTAGAACTTTTATATTTTTAACAACAATGTTTAAGGTTATTTTAATATTAAAAAATCTAATATTATCTTGATTGTGATTTTATTATTGGAAGTCATCCTGAGCATTGTGAGATAATAGGGAAAAGTATACATCTAAATAAATTAAGGTTGTACAAAACATTAAAAAGAAGCAAAGCATTTCTTCTCCGAAGCATTAAAACAGCTCAATCCTCTGAAAGGCTTGTCACAGCTGATTCAGAGGTTTTCCCCAGTACCTGTGGAAGTGTTGCTTGAATACGCCTATTATTGTCATCATCATCATCTTTTTATTTTGAAGAAAAGGGATTTATATAATGCTCCCATGTACAATTTTCCATACAACTACTGTGTAAGGTGGTTGGGCTGAGAGTGAGTACCTGACTCAAAGTCACCCAGTTGGCTTTCACATCTAAGAGAGGACTAGAACTCACATCTCCTGGATTCTAGTCCAGTACCATAACTACTATACCAGTCTAGCCTAGATGCAGAATCAATTGAAAAAGCCATCAAAGCAGTAACATCAAGCCTTCTGGAGAGAACTATTTAATTGTTCAAGGAGAAACATGCTAACATGTTTCCCAAAGTGCTCCTTTCAAACAATCTGTATGTCCCTTCCATATATCAGACTCATTTGCTTGGATCCTAATATCACCAGCAGAAAAAAATGTGACTTATTTTGAATCTGCTCTTTCAGAGTACTTTGTTTCACCCAACATCTGCAAGGCTAGGTTTTCTGCTGGAACAGAGAATATAAATGTAAGAATTCAGAAAATTATTTCCTTTATTTATTTCCTTTTAACCATTGGCATCCCCCATTCAATATAATGATTTCCACAAACAAAGTCCTTCAGTGAGCCTTCAAATCTAAGCCATTATGTACGATATAACAACTGAATTATTATGATGTCCAAATTGGTATCTATTTGTAAATATCTTCTGGTAAAAGAAATACAGGAAATGTCAAAGAAGCTGCAAATAGGCATAATGTATTAATGAAGACATCAAAATAATACAAGATGCTTATATAAATTTGTACCTGATACCCTTTATTTCTTGAATTCTCCATCTACCATTAGGTCATAATTCATACTAATATTTTGTTTTGTTTGTGTGTCTTCAGTAATTCAGCACACAACAGATTTCTATATTTTGCAAACACAGTTTTGTCTCATAAGATCAATAGCAAATTGTAAAATGCAGAACATAAAAACATATGTGAATATTCACACTTTAAAATCTGATCTTATTTTTTTATTAACCTAATGCTTATTCAAATACTGCAAAGGCAAACATGCATTGAATATTCTATCTTAAAAACACAAGGAAATAAGTATTATTGTCCCAGAAAGAATAGCTGAAATATTCTCATTTATTTTCATTGACCCAAGATTGTATATATATCAAGGTTCAATATATAAGAGCTTTGATTAATATTTGAAGAGCAGTTACACAAAACAATGTAAGATACTTTCTTAAACTCTGTATATTGATAAAAACCTGTTTATTGTAATTTCAGCCATAATTATGTATGGAATAAATACTCAAATATATTTTTGTGCTTTGTATTTTGTCATCTGAGATACTGGCTGAGGCAAGTATACTGGAGAATTTCCTTAGTTCATCTCCCCTTGCTGGATAGGCTCTCTTCCAATCAAAGAAAGCAAATTAACGACAATTTGGCATAATGCAATCTTACCTTATTAGCATTATCTGCTTTGGGACTTGATAAAACCCTGGCTGAACTAAAGCAGAGGATATGAGATCTAAACATCTAAAATGACAGAGCCGAAGACTCCCATCCCTTTTACAGCATAATCACTCCTTCTCCTTGGTCTGTCTCTATACATTTCTGTAACATCTTACGTGTTCCACGTAGCAGACTACTTACTTTGGCCTGAATTGGGGTTCTATCTATTAGGGCAACAACTGGCATATAAAAGCTGAACTTGTGTCTGTTCAGACTCAAAGATACAATCTATCTCACATATGCTACATTATACACTCAATGATCAGCAGGTTTAATACTTCCAATTGTTAATAATTTTAATTGCTATCTGACCAGGAAGTTGTTACCATTCTTCGGGTCAGAAACCTCTAAGAAGATTGCAAAATGCCTTGGTAAGGCTACACTTGGAATACTGCATCCAGTTTTGGTCACCACGATGTAAAAAAGATGTTGAGACTCTAGAAAGAGTACAGAGAAGAACAACAAAGATGATTAGGGGACTGGAGGCTAAAACATATAAGGAACAATTGCTGGAATTGGGTATGTCTAGTCTAATGAAGAGAAGACGAGGGGTGACATGGTAGCAGTGTTCCAATATCTCAGGGGCTGCCACAAAGAAGAGGGAGTGAAGCTATTCTTTAAAGCACCTGAAGGCAGGACAAGAAGCAACGGATGGAAACTAACCAAAGAGAGAAGCAACCTAGAACTAAGAAGAAATTTTTTGACAGTTAGAACAATTAATCAGTGGAAAAACCTGCCTCCAGAAGCTGTGAATGCTCCAACACTGGAAGTTTTTAAAAAGAGACTGGTCAGCCATTTGTCTGAAATGGTACAGGTTTCCTGCCTGAGCAGGGGGTTGGACTAGAAGACCTCCAAGATTCCTTCCAACTTCTTCTTCATCATCATCATCATGTACTGGCCTTGTAGTGCTTTGTCTTCCCCTGCCTCTATTCTGTTCTTCATTTGGTCTTTCTTGTAGGCCAGTTTGGTCTCTCCAGTAGTCAGTAAGCCTTCCTGATATACTAATTTCAATGCATCTTCATCAATGTCCTTCAGATATTCTTCCAAAGCCATTTTTTTTTCTTCAACCATCTGATGTACTTGCAGCATTCCATGCCCACCTATTTGCCTTGGTAGATAAAGTCTGTCAATGTCACTGCGTGGATGAAGGGCATGATTCATTGTCATTATTTTTCTGGTCTTTTTATCCATTGCTTTTAGTTCTGATTATTATTATTATTATCATTATTATTATTATTATTATTATTATTATTATTACTATTACTATTACTGCTGCTGCTGCTATTATTATTATTATTATTATTATTATTATTATTATTATTATTATTATTATTATTATTATTATTATTATTTAGTTTTTGGATGTGATACTATCAGGGAATTCTAAGCCTTAGAATTAATTTGAAGATTTTTTTTTAAGAACACAAAGCTGCAAGAGGAAAACGTAGCGTAACATACACATAACATAACATGTTTATAGTTTCAGAAACTAAGCCTAAGCTTTCACCTATGAAACATCTCTAATATTACTGTTGCACTTAACCAAAATGCATCTGTTAGTTTTGTTAGTACAAATGTTAAAAGATACACTATTTTAGATGAAATCTAGAGGAATACCTAAATTAATCAGTAAGGGTTCTAATGACAAAAATATGAAGAAACTGACATTTTAAATAAATTACTGGTTTGAATATGCAAAATCTGCTTTAATATAGTACAATTTATGTATTAAATAAATGTTATCTAATAATAGTTTAAAATCTCTGTTTTGAATCTTGTTGTGTGAATTTTTGAATGTACTATTTATACATTACTTCCATAATGCAAGATCTGAACTTCACAGCAAAAATTATTTCAGTCTGGTCAAATATATTTCACTGTTGATATAAATGTATATTTATCAATAATCCCAGAAGGATAAAACAGTAAATTTAAGATGCTCTAAATAGCTATATGTAAGAAGTTACCTCTTGGGTAATGCCTCTTTTTTTCACACTTGGCAGAATTTCTTTGTGGTTCCCTGAACCATCAAAGCAAAATGAGGTTCGTTTTCGCTTGTTGATGTCTTGTAGGCAAGTTATTAAACCATCCAGTGAATTTTTTTCAGGTCTTGAAATCACAGAGCAGTCTAGCGCTTCATCTTCTTTATCAGTTTCTCCTTTCATATTATTTTTAATACCTAATTTAAAGAAAAAGAGTAACAAAGGTATCACAGATAGGAAATTCATCAGCTACTGATTCCAGGCACATGTTTTGATATGATATATAGTGGATATAAAAAATATAATGCATGGTGTTGGGGTAAGATCAGCTTACTTAGATTTCTACGTCTTTGCTTTTCTGCCTTTAATTTTTTTTGGGCTTTTCTGCATTTTGTATTATGTTGCTTATCCTGAAGAGAATAGCATGAAAATATTGTATACACTCATACATACAATGGATATAAAAAGTCTACACACCCTGGTTAAAATGCCAGATTTTTGAGATGTAAAATAACCAGACCAAGATAAATCACTTCAGAAGTTTTTCCTTAATGTAACATATAAGCTGTACAATTCAACTGAAAAATAAACTGAATTTTTTTTTCCAGGGGAAATAATAAAAATATGCAATAACATGTTTGCATAAGTGTGCACATCCTCTTATAAGTAGGGATGTTGCTGTATTAAGAATTCAGACTGATGGTAAATAGTAGTCAGTACACACCTGCCATCAATTAAAGTTATTCTGATTAAGCCCATATAAAGTTCAGCTGTTTTATGTAAGCCGTACAATACCATTGAAAAACAAACTGAAATATTTTAGGGGAGGGAATAAAAATAAAAAAAACTTAAAACAATGTGGTTGCACAGGTGTGCACTCCCTTCAACTAATACTTTAAAGCACCTTTTGATTTTATGACAGCATTCAGTCTTTTGGGTGGTAGCCTATCAGCATGGCACATCTTGCCTTTGGAATCTTTGTCTACTCTTCCTTGCAAAAGTGCTCCAAATCATCTGTATGGGGACAACTTGGCACAGGTGACCAGGGGGAGAGCCAGGCACGCAGGCAGGTGTGCAGAGCAGCAGCGTCTTCCAATTTTCACACACCTCTGCCACCACTGCACTGAGCTCCAGGCCGTTCAGAGTTTAGGCCAGTGCAGCGGCGGTGGTGTGTGTGTGTGTGAAAATAGGATGCCTGGTTGCCACCACCTCCCCACTGCTCACCCCACCCACTGCAACCACGGCTGAATGGTCCAAACATCACCATCACTGCTGAACAACCCAAACTCCAAACAGCTCAGAGCCTGGCATGGCAGCAACAGGGGGGGTGTATAAAAATGGGATGCACCTGGCCGCCGCCTCCCCACCTGTCCTGGCTGCCTCCAAACAGCCCAAACTCCAAACAGCTAGGAGCTTGGAGTAGCAGTGGCAGCAGTAGCAGTAGCAGCGGTGAGGGTGTGAAAATGGGAAGTCCCTGTCTGCCACTGTTCTGCGTTCTGTCCACCCGCTCGCTTGCCTGGCTCTCCCTCCAGTGGGAAGCTCCTGGTCACCACTGCCGCTATGCGCTCTGCCCACCCACTCGCTCATTCGCCTGGCTCTCCGGCCACCTGTGGCAAGTTGTGCCTGTGGTGAACTGCCCATGTTGAGTTGTCTTGTGGTGATTTGGCAGCAGTGAGTTAACAGAGGCAACTTGGCAGTGGCAATCTGGCAACGAGTTGTCCCATTCCAGGAGGAGTCACATCCACTAGCCTTGCCCTACCAGCCTGCATAATCACATTCAGATCTTGAACCTCCAGATTTTGTTTCATCTGAAGCCTGAAACAATAAAAATGTCTGATTTTTTGCCCAAAAAAATGTCTGAATTTTTGCCAGAAAAAATGAGTGCATCCAAAATGTTTTAGTAGAACATCTGGAATGTGAATTTTGTTCCAAGTTTGAAACAAAATATATATTATTTTCAATTTCATGCAGATGCCATAGTGCAGAGAAGGCTATGAATTAATTATACTATATGGCCTCAACTTGTCTGAAAAACATCTAGGAGGCCCATTCCTTCTTCTCAAACCCTACCCTTTCCTCCAGGCCCTGACTGCCCCCTCCCCAGTTTCAGGGAGCTCCCATCCATATTCAATATATTGTGCTAATAATAATGGAAAAGGCAGGGATCACTGGTGAAAAAGGAAAAAAAATCTAACATTTCAACTTCAAAAATTGCAACCTTCCTCTAAAACTACTCCCACACCAGCTACAATCAGGCTTTAAATCACTTTCCTATGACCAAGATTAAAATGAATATGCAAATACTAATCTACGAATTCAGTTTCTTGCTTATAAATGTATGCTAGAAGTTATATGTCTATAGTAAGATGGTGATGCCATCTGAAATATGGTTCTACCTGTTTGGGGCCATGACCCTCCACAAATGCTTGTCTGGACTCACTTTGACGTTCAGACTGAAAACATTTTTTACATTTGCCATCAGGCATATTTCATATTGCTAATATAGGAGATTAGAATGATCAAGATTTTGCCAAGGAACCAATTAACCTTCCAATTTTGCCAATACTTTCCCACAATAAAAGTATTTGGTTATCATCTATTTTGATTTAGAACTGAACATGCATAAAATCTCCTATTTTCTCACAATGTACAAAAGATGTTAGAAAAATAAAAAAAACATTAATAGGAGAGTCAAAAAATAACATTTATACATTAAAATGCCCAATTCATTGTTACAATACTTATATCAAAATAAATATTGGCTTTGGATACATAAATATTATAATTTGATAATGAAATATATTTAAAGAACAGTACCGTCAGTATTATCTTCATCATCAAACAATTCAGCTGAATTCATATTCTGTTTTTCTACACTGTTAGAACAAGAAAAAAATAGAAGATGAAACATAAGCATAATATAATCCATGACCCAAATGTAGCATTTCTGGTGCATAGGTAATATGTACATCAAGTTGTAGGCCATACTTAAGTTTTAGGCAACAATGCATATATTGTAATTCTATACAAGGGCAACATTTACTTATGTTGTTTGGTAGACTAGCATAAAATATATTGGCTGGGTCATGAATTAATATTATTAAGAATATAAAGAATTACAATAGTGTCAGATTTCATCAAAGCTGTACAAAATAAGTATGTTGGTTCTTTAAGAGACTAGCAACACAGATCTTCGTAATCTAAGGAAAATACATTAATAGTATATGTATTCATGACAGACCTGGATCCAACCGAGTCTTCCTGTGAATGAGACTTCTTCCATTAAAGTCATTTCAGTTAAATCAATTTTCCACAATAGAAGTTAGTGGGGTAGGGGGAAGATATCCTCTCTTTTTTTTCTGTCCTATTTCTCATTTCATTACAAGAGTATCAAGCTTTTTAGAGTAGCTTTTAAGTAAAGACGAAGGAGATTTGCAGCAATTCTTTCCATAAAAAGAACTCTGCATTCAAGAAACTAACATTGGATTGGAAACCTTAGGGATACATTTGATCTTTTAAATTTCTTTGGAACAATTAGTTCATTGTCAGAAAAAGGATTATCTTATATTCATTCTAATTACTTAGGCTGCCATCCTATGGATCCTACCTGTTGAGACAAATTCTTTTCAATATCAGAAAGAAACAAAAGAAGTATGCAATAGAAATAGTCAGTGGCTAGGCATCTTCCAATCTTCTGGAACTGCTTTAAGTGCATTCCCTTTATGTGTGTTTTAAATAAACAGGGAGGGAAACAATTGCAAACATTCCCTCCTTTTTTTCTAGTAAGGAAAATCATATGTCTGATATCAAATAATCAATGGGAAGTCTTTGCCTATTCAATGACTATGAGCTTATTGTGTATGAAGGTATATATATTTGTCATTGCTTTGTCACTAAATAAGCATTTTCTAATTTTATTCCAGTAGAGGGGAACAGTCAGTTGAAATGGCACCAGGATTTGACATATCTGTTAATGGAAATAGGCTAAAACGTTCTCTAGACTATGCGACATAATATAGACCAGGCAATTTATCTAAATGCACACCCATTTGGCTATTAAACCAATATTTCAGAACTCTCAACTGTTTTCCTCTACAAAATAATTATTTTCTTTAAAAAAAGTTAGGTTCATTCATGAATGATTCCTTGTCTTTCTCAAGCTTTATTTAGGTGATCAGGCTTCCATTCATGTGAAACAAAAGTGTATAGTGTGCACAAAGAATCTGTGTTTTCCCTCCTGGTCTACACATACACTGTTCCAGTCCATTTTATTCTTCAATTTCACCTATTCAGTTGAATGGTCTTGAAAGGAGATTTTAGGTACATTGATTATAGCACCAATGTAGAAAACAGCAAAAGGGTAGGGAATTTAAACTTTGATTTTAGAAAGTTACAAATGAATAAGGAACCAGATCAACTTGAAATAATATTTTGGAATTAATTATAAAAATACTTCCTATGGAAACATTCTTTTCCTTTGAATTTTAAAAAAACATATAGTAATCCTCACTTAGTAATGGGTCATATTATGACCATTTGAAGTTATGGCAGCCATGGAATGGGTGCTTTTTGGTCCATTAACATCATGCTAATCCCCTACCATCAAATGACTACATGTCAGCCAGTCAACTTTATGACCAGTCACAGTATTCCAATCATGTGACTGTGATTCATGATGGATTTTTGCAGGGTTCTGGCAAAAAACGCCCATGAATGGGCATGCTTAACAAATGTAGTGTTTGCTTAACAACTGCAGCATTCACTTAACAACCACAGTGTTTGCTTAACAACAGCTGCAAAAAATGATGGAAAATTACTTCCGATCATGTGAGTGTCTAGATTTATGACTATAATTACTTATGACAGTAATTCAGGCTCAATTACTGTCATAAGTCGAGGACTATCTGTAATAAAGTAAGACTTTAAAAATTAAACACTAGAGGGAACTAGAAAGATCTAAAGATTACAATTAAAGGAGAAAAACACTTAAATTCAACTTACAGTTACAGAATGAAGCAAAATATCTTAAGACTGGACATATTGAAGGATATTTTTAAACAACTGACCCAAAAGTTAATTTTAATAGTGTCTGCATCTATAGATAGACTGTGTCTAAAAGATGTTATGGAAAAGGAACAAGTTCTACTTGACAAGATCAAGACTAAGTTTAAAGTGGGATTTTAATATAACAGCTATCACAGTGATATGGAAAAAGATATTATATTAGATACACAAAAGAAATCAGCTGATGTCTTAATTAACATATAATTAACATAAAATGAAAAGAAATCAAATTTTAGGTCATTTGAGTGGGCTAAAGAGTATGATTTACTAGAAAAAAATATATAAAATTGGTTTATTTGATCAAGGCTAATACAGGTAATCCTTGATTTATGATAATTGAGCCTAAAATTTATGTTGCTAAATGAGACAGTTATGTGATTTTTGCCTCATTTTGC